TTGGATAGAGTATGATGGTGAAAAGAGAACTCTCAATGTAACAATAGCTCCTTTAAAATTATCAAGGCCCAGCACACCACTTATTAAGAATTATAAAATTGACCTTTACAATGTTATGAAGGAAAACATGTTTGTTGGTTTCTCAGCATCAACAGGCCAGGAAACAAGCTCTCATTATCTTCTAGGGTGGAGTTTTGCAGTGAATGGTGTTGCCCCTATGCTTTCTAATCTTCCAAAGCCACCACCCAAGGAGCAAGATCCATCCTCATTTCCTTGGGTCAAGGTTGCAATTGGCATCTTGTCTGCTTTGACTCTGAGCCTTTTGTGTCTTCTAATTCTTCTGACATGTTATAACAGATACATGGATTTTGAGGTTCTTGAGGACTGGGAGACGGATTGTCCTCACAGGTTTAGATACAAAGATCTTCACCTTGCCACAAAAGGGTTCATAGAAAGCCAACTCATCGGAATAGGAGGCTTTGGTGCTGTGTACAAAGGTGTCTTACCAACGACAGGAACTGAAGTTGCTGTTAAGAGGATTGTGAGGAGCCCTTTACATGGAATGAGGGAATTTGCAGCTGAGGTTGAAAGCTTAGGAAGATTGAGGCACAAGAATTTGGTGAACCTTCAAGGGTGGTGCAAGAAAAAGAATGATCTCCTCCTAGTCTATGATTTCATTCCTAATGGAAGCCTTGATTGTGTCCTATATAACCCCAATAACAGCTTTGTTTTGAACTGGGGGCAAAGATTCAACATTGTCAGAGGCATCAGTGCTGGACTATTGTACTTGCATGAAGAGTGGGAGCAAGTGGTGATCCATAGAGATGTGAAAACTAGCAATATTTTGATAGATGGGAACTTGAGTGCACGTTTAGGTGACTTTGGACTTGCAAGGCTCTATAACCATGGGCAAGTATCACACACGACCAATGTGGTTGGCACTATTGGCTACATTGCACCTGAGTTAACTCGCACAGGAAAGGCTTCTACCAAAACTGATGTGTATGCATTTGGGGTTGTGCTCCTAGAAGTCGTCACAGGTAAGAGGCCTCTTGATTCAGATCAGTTTTTCTTGGTGGAATGGGTGGTTGAGAATTACCATTTGGGTCAAATTCTTGAGGTCATTGATCCTAAGCTGGATTCAGTTTATAATGAGGAAGAAGTTGAGTTGGTTCTCAAGTTGGGTTTACTATGCTCTCAACATAGAGCAGATTATAGACCTACCATGAAACAAGTTACAAGGTACCTAAACTTTGATGACCCTCTTCCTGATATTGCTGACTGGGGACATGTTGGTTCCAATAGCAGCAGCAGAATGAACTCAGGTTTCTTAGAAATCACGTCATCTTTGAGAACTGCTGAAACATCAGGGTATTCGTCCTCCATTACCATGAGTACCAAGTCCATAGATGCTGGTAGATAGAAACTTCTACCATTTTTAACTCGTGTATTTCTCTAATTATATGCATAGTTCTCGTGTAATTCTTTCATTTCTTTGTAATAATAACAAAGAAAAAACAATACGTTTTGTTTCTGGCAATATATGACTTGCTTTGCTTAATCCATTAACATGTCATGTTATAAGGGGAAGAAGATCAATTATAGGTCCAGCTTTTATTGTAACTTAAACATAACCTGCGCATGAACTTGTAAATTTAACTGGTTTAACCTTGTTTTTAGTCTTTCATTTTTTATTTTTTTTATGCACTGCTTTTCTCCATTTTTTTTATATATTAGTTTTAGCCTTTATATTTTTAAAGATACTTTCTTTAAAAGTAAAAAGGTATTCCTTTTAAGGATTAACTTTCAGGAAATTTAAAACATATAGAGACAAACTATTAGTTTAAAAACCAGAGACGAAAATATGAAAACTAAAAGGCTTGTTCTAATTCTTCCAAAAAGAAGAATGAATTTTTAGTGTTATTATTTATACATCTTTTATTATTTATATAGTTTAGTGTAAGAACAATTAAAGTGTGTTTTTTCATTGGTTAATAAGGTTCTTCACAATATATTGGAAAATATTTCTCTAACTTTTCAGTCAGTTTTATTCGTTTTAAAAAAAGTCTTCTTCTAAGCTTTGTTTCTTTATAGATTTTTTATATGTCATTGTTTGAAGATGAGATACAAGTGGGAAGTGATTTGATAGATGTTAAAGTCATTCAATATACACTTGATGTGATAGAAATTTGTACAACAACACAGCTTTCTAGTTTTCACGTTTAAGAAATTGAAAGACATTATTGTTAACTAATCTTCAAAGGTAGTTACCAAGTTAGAGAAAATCCAAAATTGATGTTTGTGAAAGGGTAAAAAACGAAGAAATATGTAAAGATCTTGAATGTCTTAATTATGGTAAAGTCGTAACTCATAAATATTTGTGAAGGATTATTATTTATTTTAAAATTGGGTGAATGGATAAAGACTACATTAATTCATGATGCAGGGAGCAAGCAAGAAGTTGAATTCAGTTGCCGTTGTACTACAGGTGTCGAATAACTGCAGATTGACATTGTTCATCTCATAAATATTTTACGAAAATGATTAATTGAAAATCCAGTTTCTCCCTACAATCATCAACAATTTCATTTATTAATAAAATAATAATTTTATAAATATAATATTAATAAATGGAGTTGTATAATAAATAAATATATTAGTGGATGTCAAAATATCACTGTCAAATATATATGCCAAATCTCTTTCATGAAAATCCTCTAATAATGATACCCTTCTTGCTCAAATATTAAATCAAAAGTAATGGTTTCACTAGGCTTCTTTCTTAATTTTATGCGTTGCAAATTTTAATACTTTTGGTTTTTTATTAAAAGTTTTATGTAAATTTTCTATATTGAACTCGATTTAGTTCCCAATTAAAAAAAAAGCCGATGATAGAAATAGAATGAATAAAGGATAAAATAACTTTAATTTAAGTTCAATTTCAATTATAAAATGTAGATTTTTAGCTAATATTTTCGTAATACAACTAATAACCTTTTTCTTGAGTCTAATGAATATTGTAGGGGAAAAAATTTGCTAAAATGATATAATTTTTTTAAAAATTACTAATTTAAATAAGTGGTGCCATAAAAAAAATTATACTTCATAACACAATTTAAATTTTTAATTTTTTTTAAATATAAAAATCGTAGTATCTAATACGACTTTTAATTTTATTTTATAATAATATCGTAATATTGTTATAATTAATGATAATATATTTTATATTATTAATAATAAATTAAATAATAATGATAATAATTTAATTTATATTATTCTTAAAAATAGTATTTGCTTTATTATTTAAATTAATATTATATTATTATCAATAAAATAAAAATAATATAATTATAATTACTAATATTAATTAAATTTTATTATTAATAATATAATAAATTAATAATTATAATTATATAAAATAAATATAATATTAAAAATAAAATAATTATTTTAATAATTACAATTCTATTATTTATTTATATATTTGTTATTATTATTATTATTATTTACTAATAATAATATAATTTTATTGATGATTATTCATTATTAACATTATTTTATTTAATAATATTAAAAAATAATAATAAACTTATATTTATTATATTATTTTATTATTAATAAAATTAATATAATAATAATAATTACGAGAATTACAATTATTAATGTAATAATTATTAATATAATTATATATATATATATATATATATATTTAATTATTATTATTATATAATGAATTATTATTAATAAAATTATATTATTATTATTAAATAAATAATTATTATTTATAAATAATAATAATTAATATGTATTATTAATATAATAATATAATATTAATAATGAATTATTATTATTATTTTAATATTAACAATAAAATAATATTATTAAATCATGTTATTATTAATTATAATAATAATATAATTATTATAATATAAAATCAGAAATTATATTAGATAGTACGATAGAAGTCGTGTTCGTTTTAAAAAAAAAATAATAATAACTTAAATAGTGAAGTATGATTTCTTTGAGTACAGTGTGGTAGGTAGGATGATTTATTTAAATTCATAATTTTTAAAAATTCATACCATTTTGATTATTTTTTTAAATAGACAGAATGTTTATGTTAAAATTTTATTTAATTATAATCCTTTAATTTAAATTAATAAATAATATTCTAAAAGATTAATTCTCTTTTAACTCATCAAGATTTAAGATATTTTATAAATCGTTTTTTGTTTGCTCCTATTAAATATTATGAATATGTGTGTTGTTTATTATAAATAATCATAAAGAAAAGTTCAAAGGTTATTTACGGTGAAGGTAAATTTAATACATTAGTAATATTGTTTTAAAAAATAAACAAAATCAGCTTAATTAATTATTTTTATTAGTTTGTGTGATTATATTAAAATAAAGTGTAGTGCAAAGAAAAGATAATTCCAAGGATTTGTGAGATGAACTTGGAGTTTGTTTAGTTATATGAAATTAGACGAAATATAAAGTGTCAAATAAATCAAGACTTTTCTGTTTAAGATCATTAAATCAAGTTTGCACAGATATAAACTACATGGTTATTTAGGTTTAGAAACATTATAAGGTTAACCTCATCATGAACTCATTTTCCTTGGCTTATATGACATTCTTCGAACTGTGTTGGAGGTTGTTCAACATCATCAGTTGAAATTACGATCACTGTTCTTCTATCAGCACTAAAATGATTTGCAGTTATAGAAAAACAGAGTGACATTTTTTCGGTCTGAGTCTACATCTCCTCTGTAATTCTGAATCACTACATGAAATGGATTTAACTACAAATTACTGGTTTTCCTGAAAGGAAGCAACTGGCCCAAATGGGATCGAGTTTTTGTTACACTCCAATTGAACTGATTAAGCATTGGCATACAACATGAGCATATTTTCTAAGCAGGTACGTAAAAGAGAACAAGAGGATTGTGTATAAAATAAAAATGAAGAAATTGGTTACCAAATATTAATATAGCAAATCATTGTATTCGTAGAATATCTTCTTTCACATTTGCGCAGGGCCTGTGAAGTGATAAACGATGTTTCTTATGCTTTGAACTGTGTCGATGCTTCTGCACATTTGTAGATGATGGTAGGACAGGGCTCTTTATAGCACAAAGCTTATTCTTCATAAGCCAAGAGAAGAGAAATTTCAGGCCACAACCTTTTGGAGAAGAAACATATGAGTTCCCAGTGGAACCTTTGATATAACCCTCATCACTCCAAGTATCATAAATTTTCCAATCATTCGAAATATGTGCATCAGATGATGCAGCCAATGCATTGGCATCAGGAAGAAAACGGTTGATCATATAGGTTGGAGATTGACAACCATTAGACTCCGCAAGCTTTAATCTCAACCCATCATTACTTTTACCATGAGCTGTCTCTGCTTTTTGCACAATGTCTAACGCCTCTGAAAGAGACAAAACATCCATTGCATCTGAGAAAGTATCATTCTTCTTGTCCTCATCGTCATTATCACCATCACAACCATCATCTTGATCAAATGCAAGAACACCATTACATACTTCAGCTTTAGCTGCTTCTTCCGGTGGATGCCAAAGGCAAGGAGGTGGTCGTAGCCGCGGGGTGTCTATATCTCCATCATAGATGCCATCACTCCTCTCCATGGTTTTTGGTTTACCTGGGGCTTGTTCCCATGAAAATGGAACACTTGTATTTGGTACTATACTTCCAAGTGAGCTTGAGGAGCAATATGTATCTGCAACACCTGAAAAACCAAAACGCTTTGTTGACAAAAGAGGTGCATTAATGCTTAAATTTCTAAGTCGTTCAGAATCCATGGCTTCCAGATTTTTTTCTTTTCTCCGTCCTCGGTGTAGGGGAGATTTTGTGACCAGAAAGACTATCAGAAATAAATAACTAATTGGCAAAAGGTTCATTAAAATCTTGATTAGAGAGAACATGACATCCAGTTAGTTGAGTGGAATAAAAATATCAGTTGAAAATATGGATATCTCGTGAAAATCATCATACCAAGCCCTGCTTTAAAATGGTCACGGGTTAGTTGATACGCCTCTTCGATGTAGGAAAGAAACAAGAGGCCAGATATTTAATGTCAAATAATGTGAAAGGAGGGGGTGTTGTATATGCAGATTTAAAGGAAGAAGAAAACAAAATTGTGTTGATTATACAGCATTAGCGGAATTGACATGTCTGTGTTTACACTTTTCAATAGACATATCACAAGGTAGGTATATGTTCATGTCAAATTAATGAATCAACATAAGATCATATAGAGTGTATGGGGGTGGGGGGTAAAACGAAAAATAAAGACGAATTGAATAGATGAAAACTTTCATAGCTGGTATGGATATGTTCTAAACTTTCATAGCAGGTATGGATAAGTTCTCCAAAGAGAACTCGTCACAATACAGTTAAAGGAGTTTCAAGGGAATTGTGTTTATACAACAGAGAGGACTGAGAAAACAACACAATGTGAATTGGCGATTGCTCAGCCAAAAAATCTGGTAAATTTCTAAGCCTTCGTTTGGATTACCGTTCAGAAATTTTGCAAAAAGAATAACATGTGTATCTTTTGTTTCAAAATTAATTCTGGAAGTTCCACGCCGGTATTCCAAACATGCTGAAATCTGTTGCATAACAAACTGTCTTTCATGTACATGTTTGTCGAAAAATGTGGTAACTTATGATCATCCTGGCCGGTGTTGTATTATTGGAAACAGCAGCAGCATCTGCACTACTTGATCCATAAGCTGGAAAAACCATAATTCATTAATATATTTACAAGCTATCATCCTCTACTCCCCCTTCGGTTTCAGCCCAAATTATCTTTCTAACTTACCCTTTTACTGTGGTAATTCAGCATCCCGAAGGTTAGCCTAAAAGATATGCAGACCAGTCTGTTTCTGGAGACAAAATTCAATAGATAACTAGCGCTGATGATTACTGGGTCGTGGCAAGAATAGGCTTGTAACCATAAGTAACACACCGAGAACACCTGATCATTGGTTTGTGATTCTCTCATTTTTGTTCATTAATTTGCTCCCGTGCTTTGTTACAAAGCTCTAACGTCTCAGCATGGCTAGGATCAAGACAAAGGGCCGCGTCACAGTCTCGGACGGTAGAAATATAATCACCCATTGAATCATGAAATGCTGCTCGGAGATGTAACAGTTGCAAATCTGGCTTAAAATCAATGGCCCTTGAAAGCTCTGCTATTGCTTCATCTTCCTTATGATCATCCATTAAAACTGAGAGAGAGAGACTCCATGTCAGAACTTGATAATTTATGATCATCTATTAAAACTGATAGGAATGTCCTAATTAACATATCCAAACCATAATGTTTCCTCAAAATGACATTCTCAAAAATCATATAAAATCTTCAATTGATATTGTGGTTCTAGATCCAGCATAAAGGAAAAGTGTTGTTTAGTACATAATGAAAGATTGCACAATCTATAAAAATCCACTCACGGATTTGCATCAGCCATGAAAATGTTTGAAATATAATAATGGCTTACAGTCAGAACGAAGTTCTCACTATGTCTGTCTTGGAACTTACAGTCTACCAAAGTCCCAAACATATTATTTCTTCAATTGATCATGTCGTACTAAAACCCAGCATATAGGAAAAGTGCAGGTTAAAATACGTAATGAAAGATTACAGCATCACTAACATCCACTCAATGCAAAAGAAATAAATACTAGAATAGAGAAAAATATAACTATTTGTATGAAGATTACCTGCTGCCCTATATCTGTAAGGATAAGTCCTTAGGGGATCCAACTGTGTTGCCAAACTAAGATCACTCTTTGCCATGTCACGATCACAATATTCTGAACGTTTTTCATATGCAGATGCATTATTCCTGGCCTTTGCTATTAGTTTTGTCATCTCATCATATGCATCTTTGTGCTGATCCTTGAGATGATATACGCGTGCCAACCCTTGATGTGCTCGTGTATGCTTGATATTTAGTGCATGCTTGTAGCAGTCAGCGGCATAGTCCAACTTGCCACAATCTACATATACACTCCCCAAATTATTCAGCGCCTACAATATACAAGAATGTCTTATATAAATTAATTGTTTCAGATCTGAAATCCTGTAAATATATTTAACCTGAAAAAAAATTTAATACTTACTTGTCCTTTACGAAGACCATCTGAGGGGCATCTAAGAGCTTCCTCCAAGAGACTGATCACATACTTTGAAGACGCTGAATCAAGACTTGAGTCAGCTAAGGCATAAGCTTTGAGAAAGAAAGCTTCAAATGACCTTTGAATGGAAATGGACTCCTCAGCTTTTGCCAATGCTTCTTCACGATAGCCAGTGTCATACAATATCCATCCTTCATAGACAAGTCTTTCATGTGCTGAACATGAATGATTTCTAGCTAGACGCAAACTGCGCATGGCTGCCTTCTGCGAATTTAACCTGCAAGATTAAGAAGAATAAATGCCAATGGATGCTAAGGCAGTAAAAACAATAGAGGACTGAAGCACTTATCAAAAAACCTACGTGATTAACAAATAAAATTTTGAAACATTTAATGCATAGCATGCCTTATTTGTTGTAGATACTGAAAAGTAAAAACCTAGTGAAAAACTATACAATTGAATACCTAGTGAAAAACTATACAATTGAATCATCTGACTAGCCTTGAAAAAGACATAAAGTGTTCCATCCATCTCACTGGTAGAAAGTGCAGTACAATCCTAGAACGCAACACAAAGAACATGCCTGGATCAAAACTTACAACCGTTTAAACAAGGGTAGGAAACATCTCGATTTGAAACTCAGCCCTGTCCATATTTCCAACAGTAAATTATTACATGACCTTCTATTACCCACCAACTGTGTAATTTCTGCCCATACTGCATTGTTCATGCTGTCAATAAAAGGTTCAGGAAGGGAGTTTCTTAGCATGAGGGATGTTGAAGTATTTCCAGAAGGGCTTGCTATTGATTTTAAATCTTTTAACCAAGGAAAGATATCTAGCTTGGGAAAATGGAAATGCCACAACCTAGTATGGGGAAAAGGGAATAGGAAATACCATGACTGTTTAACTGCTCTTGGATTGAGAATTGCAAACCTCTCATTTTACATAATAAACAAAAAACAGAACTGGTTTCATTTTTCCTCTTTTTCCTACTTTATGCGATAAAAAAATTTCATTCTAAATGTTCATATGAACTGTAAAGAATCTAGAGAACAGGGTAACTCAATCCACTCAGAAATGATAGCATTAACTGGATCATGCAAGCTGCAAGTAAAACTGTTCTACAGTACGTGTTACTTTTCTAGTTTAGTGGATAACCAATGACCATGTCACAATTTCCTCCAATTTTAATACTCTACAAGGTCATAAGTCATCATAACAAATTCGATGCAAAAATATGTTCACGATTCAATTCACATTAAACTGAAAAAGAATTGCAGAAACAGACATAGTTATATGTACATATGAATCACCCTTTGTAAGAACAGAAAGAACTATAAAAACAACCAACAGAAATTAATTCCATTTAGAGAGATTTTTTATGGAAAACAACTTACAAGGTTAGAAACATTATTATACTTGAATTTATTTAAGGCTTTTTCTTACCGTAATAGAAGGAGCGATTGCCGAAAGCGTAAGATACTTTTCCCAGGGTCATTTTCCAACATTTTGTGTACAACAGCCAAAGAACCAATATCATCGACAGAAGACCATCTGTCGTACAATTGCATCCAGCAATCAGCCTGGCTCCACTGCTGAGCAACAGGGCGGAGGAGTTCTACCAAGTGACCACCATGCATATTCCCAAAGAACATCATATAATTTGGATCCAGCGTCAAAATTGCCCTGACATCTCTTAGGGCTCCTTCATAATCCTTCATAGCAATCAAAAACCAAGCTCTCAACTCAAGGCAGTCCGGAGAAACCTTGAAACCAATTATTTTATCAATTTCAGAAATGGCAGCTCCAATCTTATTCTCCTCCAGCAAAGAAACAGCTTTGTATTTGTATGGAAAAGAAAGAGTTGGATCCAATTCAGTTGCAGAGACCAAGTCCACCATTTTCTCCTTCCCTGTGCAATACAAAGACCTCTCTTGATACATCCAACCAACTGGTTTATAATTTTCTGTAAGGGAGTTTACCATCTTGTATGCTAAATACATGTCACCGAGCTTATATTTGGCCCTTGCAACACCCACTAAAGAATAAACATGTCCTGCCTCAACAGCAGCCTCAAACCAATGTCGTGCATCTTTGTATTCCTTTCTCTCAAACATAACAACTCCCAATTGGTGATATGCAAGTTGCTTTTGCCAACCCTCCGCCGCACACTCTCCCAATCTTTCCAAGAGCATCACTGTCATGTTAGACTTCATTTCCTCCTCCATCGCAACCTGACTCAAAAAATAATACAACACAAACGACACGTGCCCCGCAAGGGCCAATCTATCCCTACCCTCTGGACTACAAAACAGCTTCATAACACTCCATCGCTGCAACGAACCCGGAAGCTCCCTGAGAAACACCTGCAAGCAAGCCGCCACCAGCAGATGTGCAGTCTCCTCCAGTCCATACTCAATCAGCAAAACCGCATCATCCATGTCCAGAACCAGAGATGCCAAATGCGTGTCACAAGCATGCTTCATCTCCTCACAACAAAACTTATTCGCAAAAGAAAGCATCTCGAGAATAACATTAGGAGGGAACTGACTAAGCCTCTTGGTTCTACTAAAAACCTCAACAGCCATCATTGCCTTAACAGAAACAGAATTCATAGAGAAATTTATCTTCTCTCTCCTACACTCGACAAATTCACCACACAACATCGTCTCAAACGGCCTTGAGAGTGCAGCCATCGAGTACCTCCTGCAACTAACTTCACTATCACCAATGCAGAATAACACGTCATTCTCATCAGCATCAGCATCATGATCACCACTGCCATCGACATATTCACTCGAACTGGAGCATTCTCGTTCGCATTCCTGACTATGATCAACACAATCACTAACTATCTCTCTACGAAAACACGAACAACGATCAAACACCGATTCATGATCATACCCGGGGACCAAACTAGCCTTGGGACATTCAAGGTTTCGTCCACAGCAATCCATCGAATTCGATCCAACAAGCTCATCCTCTCTCCGCTCATACCTCAACCACGAAGCCAGTACAACTTTCGCGTGCACCTCCGCCGCGTGCCGCCGAGCCTCGCGTAGTCCCCGCCGGAACAGCTTCGGATCCGGCAGGCCACGCAACACCACGCATTGCTCCAAATAAACCTCGGATTTCTCGAGCGCCGCACAACTCTCAGCCCTGCGATGAACGCGGGCAAGGGTTTCTACAAAGTCCAAGGGCTTCAAGGAAGGCTCAATCGAAGGTTCCAGAAGCTCCAAAGCGGGAAGCCCGCACGGGAGAAGAGTCTCCGCAACGGCGTCGTGTCTTGGAGCTGTAGTAGAGACCGGTTTGGTTCGACCGTTTGGGGTTTTTGAATGGTCGAGCGAAGTGTGCAGCGCTTTATCAGCTGCACTGACGCCGCAGGCAGAGTCGGCGGCAGTCCGATCGGCGGCGGCGGAGGATTTCAGCGCGTGGACCTGCGTGCCCTTGCAACCGTCCATGATTTTCATGCTACGAATGGAGGTGAAGATGTTGTGCTGCATCTTCCGCTTTTTCAACGGTGGAGCTTTCGGAGTTGAGAACAATTGAAGCTGTCAAGAGAACAAAATCGGGTTCGCGAATATTTATTTATTTAAATTTAAAATAAAAATAATAAATGGAGGGTTCTCTTTTTTTTTTTTTTTTTTGTACAGAGATTCCAGGGTTTGTTCCTGTGTGTTCTGTTTTTCTCTTCGTTTTTTTGTTTTATGAGCGGTGGTAACGGTAGTGGTGGTAGTGGTGGTGGTGGGTAACAGGGTGTTTATGCTGGCATGGAGGTGGCCGTTGAAACGGCCACTCCCGTTTTCTCCTTAGTGCGAATCCCGTCTTCTTCTCAGAATTTGACGCGGATATAGCTCCACCTAGAGGCACGTTGGATGGAACGCAATGTAATATTTTCTTACATGATTTCTCCGAAGAAATGAACGTTTTCATATAAGATTAAAAAATATATATATATATATATATATATATTTATAAAATATCAAATCAATATTTATTTTTAATTACTCGTTAATTATCATTTTACAAGTTTTATTATCCAAATTTTTTTTCTCAATATCTTTTTTAATTGTTACATACTTTTTTATCAGTTTAATATATAGCTAGTTAAAAACAAAACTCAAACAATGTGGTTTTACTGTAATCTCTCCACAAAACTATATTGGGTTTTTAAGTTGTTATCACGTTATTTTAGTTGTGATTTTACTTTATTTTGAAATGATTTTATCTAAATTATCATATTGCATAAAATTAATATTTGAGATAATATTTTGTATAAACGGATATAACACTTCCAAAAAAATTATACTAAAATTATTAGGAAAAAAAAATCTCCGTTTTAATTCTGTGATGTCAAATCTGTTTTGAGAAATCATTTTTTATCAACTAGTAATTATGTTAACTGTTTGAATTTGAACTTAAGGCCCGTGATTTTATCCTTTTTATTAAGCTAATTTTAAATCTTTTCATTTAGGTGCTTGCATGCACTAACAATTTTTAAATATATTAGTACTATAAAAGTAAATAATATTTTAGCTTTTTTTATTCAGTTTTTTGTTATTCAGAAATAGTGTTTAGAGTTTGAATGTTGTACTGAATAAACATTTTTTTTATATATAATTCAAATTTAAGTTATGTTTTAGTTATATTTTAAGATGATTAAAGTCATAACATGTTAGTATATTATTTCTAAAAATTAAGTGAGTGTGTATTAGGAAACTTCATAAATTATATTGAAATCAAATGTTATAACAAATACATAAACTTAGTTTTTAATAATGGATAAATTTAACAAAATTATTGAAATTTATTTTTGAAAAATAAAAAAAATGAAATATTAAAAAGAATATGCAAAATATAAACAAATATTAAAAAATTAATTTTGAGAGAGGATGAAAATTTAACGGGGTTTTAAGGTATATGATAGTAAAATTTATAACATGAGAAAATGTTTTGTTTGAAAAAAATGAATTGGTCACTAACGCTGTGTTTGTTTGAACTGATTTGCGACGAAAGACTGTTCACGAAGACAGAAACACGACATTCACACACGTTTGGTTGAACTGATTTGCGACGAAATGCAGGCGAGGAAAAGGGGAGATGAGAGAGAGAGCTTCTTCAGTGAGGTGCGAAGAAAGAGATGAAAGTGAGAGAAAAGACGCAGATACCCTGCAATATATGATAGCGGTTAAATCTTAACCGCTATTATATAACACTTCTAATAGCGGTTAAATCCTAACCGCTATTATATAATTGTATATGATAGCGGTTCCCCCATAACCGCTCTTAAAAACAACTTTTAATAGCGGTTAAACCATACCCGCTATCTATAATAACCGATTTGAATTAATTATTTGAAAAAATTATCAAATATGATCGATCATTTCGAAAATATAATCGATCAGAGTCAAATTTCGCTCGAGCGAGATATAGTCGCTCAAGCGAAACACAACCCGAGACCTGAACAAGGTTCTTAAAAGGACCTTATAATAGCGGTTAAACCATAACCGCTATCTAATATACACTTTAGATAGCGATTACAGAGGACCGCTATTATATCCTCCAATTATGATCGATCATTTCCTAAATGTAATCGATCGGAATTATATTTCGCTCGAGCGAGACATAGTCGCTCAAGCGAAACACAACCCGTGACTCCCAGTTGTTCATGTTCTTGCACTCAACCTTTCCACCAAGAACCAACTTCCAGTTGTAATTCTTTCTTGGAAAAAGGATGCTAACGATTGCTTAAATTGATTGCTTTCTTTTTTAAAAGCTGATATGATTAAAGTTCCAACCAATTCTGTTTATAAAAGAGTTTACGAGAAAAAGCTGCCTTAATTAATCTGTTGAAAGTTTGTTTTAATCTGTTGAAATAGCAGTTATAATCTGTTAAAAGTGCTTTCAACCCATTAATGCGTTCTTGTTCTTTAACATAATTGTTTTAGCTGATACGACCAAGTTTTTATCAGTTAAAACTTTTTACAAACATTTTCTAAGAGTGATTTAATCGATTGATTCGCAGTTTAATCGATTGATTCAGTTTAAAACTTTCTTATAACTGCTATAAAATAACTTTTCAAGTTCTTTTAAGCTGATACAAAGAAGGGATAATCGATTAAAAACACTGCATGAAATTTTTTCTAAGTCATTTTAATCGATTGAAATGCATTTTAATCGATTCAAACTCTGTTAAAAACATTTTCAAGTCATTTTAATCGATTGAAAATCGCTTTAATCGATTTAAATAATTCTGATCGGTCATAATTCAATTATGATCGATCATAACCAACTCTGATCGGTCATAATTACATTCTGATCGATCATCCTGACTTCCAAAGTGGTTTTAATCGATTAAAACGTGTTTTAATCGATTAAAACCTGCATCATATCACCGAGATCTTTGCTAGTCGCTCGAGCGAGATCAGTTTCGCTCAAGCGAAAAACTACACGAGCATGAAATTTATGTGCAGGTGTCTTCGCTCGAGCGAGTTCGGTGTCGCTCAAGCGAAATATAACTTGTAATAGCGGTTGTAGGTGAACCGCTATCTAAAGTGTCGAGGTTTTGGAAATGTGATCGATCATTTTGGCAAAATAATCGATCATTTGAAAACTATAGGTAGCGGTTAAGATATAACCGCTATCACAGGTTACTTTTAAGAGCGGTTTTCTTTGTAACCGCTCTTAAAAGTGTATATTTAATAGCGGGCCAATTTAACCGCTATGTTATACATATTTGTAATAGCGGTTATTACTGGAACCGTTATCTAAAATCTTGATCATTTGACAAATTATATATTCTAAACACGACGGAAGGAGGTAAGTCATGAACGAAGTCGAGGGCTGTACATGCAGTGCTCACGCAGCTGTACAGGCGGTGGTCACGAGCTGTACAGGCGATGGTCACGGGCTGTACATGCGGTGGTCACGGCTGTCATGCAGCCAACTTCACGTGTTCACAGCTGATAGAAGTTACAGGACTTATTCTTTCTTACGTAGTTACGACTAGATAGGGAAAGTTAGTGTATTATATAAAGCAAAGCTAGTCTCATAAGACTAGCTAAAAGACTCTAGCAAAGCAAAGCAAAGCAAAGCTACTCGTTGTAGGTTGGATCTTCGCCGGCGGCCATTAACTTTGGTGTGACCTTGGTTGGTAGGTTTGTTTTTGGTATATTGTCGGAGGAACACCCAGGTATGGTTCCGTGTCTTCTCGTCATGGTTGGATCATAAAACTAGGTTGGTACGTTTGTTTTTGGAGTCTGTGTGCATGCATAAGAGTCTGTGTGACCATTCAGATTTGAGGTATAAAACATGGCCAAACCTCCTCCACTCCAACAAAAAATGTGCACCATACGACCATGGATATTGACCTGTGCATTGGTTATGTTGTTGTTGCAGGCTGTATCTTAGAGGAAAAAATTACATTATTTTTACTTACAAAAAATGAGATTATTTTTGCGAGTATTCGAAAGACTATCGGACATTTGTTAACACTTGCTCATTTGTTGGACTGAAAGTTTTGCCAAGGAATCCGAGTGGCGGGATTGAAGACAAGGTACCAAGCTTGTTGTCCCATTCTATATGTAAGATCTGTATTGACATGTATAACCTGCTTAAGAATATTGCCGTACTTTTGATCTGGATAATGCAAAATTCTGAAATCTAAGCATTTTTAGGTATAAGTATTATGACAATACTTACATATGATAAATTTATGACGCTTCCAATTTGTTTTTTATCTGGTACAATAGGTATAAGCATTTTATAAGAAGTTGTTGTAAATAATTATTAGTAAAAATATTAGAGGAAAAAAATTAGAGGAAAAAAATTATTAGTAGTTTTGTAAATTATTTTTGGTTTTGTGATACTTGGTTTGCGAGATGGCAATTTTGAATTACTTCCATTAAACATTAATTAATTAATTAATTAATTATATATATATATATATATATATATATATATATTTTGCAGATATGCAGACAAAAACATCGAGGTCATTGATTTAGACAATGACGATATAGATACTGGTCTGGATATAAACATAATTTCACATATACAAAGTGAGATAAAAAAGCGAAGCGAAATAGGAGCGATGACAATTCTTTGTTTGATAGCTTATGGATTAAATATGTTGTCTATGGTAACTTGTAGTAGCAGTAACATTAGGGACTTTATTTCTGAAAAAGAACGTCGTCGAGCACGAGTTGATGTCATACCTTATTCATACTGAACAATCTCGTCACATTATTCGCATGGGACCGGAGGCGTTCATTAACTTGTGTCAACGAGTAAGGACAACTGGATTAGTAAACGATGGGTTACAATCAACAGTGGAAGAACAAGTGGCTAAATTTCTCCATATTATCGGACATAACGTTAAAAATCGAACTGTTTCATTTTTTTTCCATCGATCAGGTGAAACCGTTAGTCAACACTTTCATAACGTGTTGAATGCGATAATAATGTTGGACGAACAATTAATTGTTCAACCATCAGGAAGGGATGTGTGTCCGTATATATTAAGCAACAACCGATTTTTGATACAATGACAAATAGCTAGTGGAACAGAGCCTCATTATTCATTTGATACAATGACAAATATAGTCCTAGCATGTTGCATTCTACACAATTTTCTTCGAGGGATAGACAACGATGAATCACTGTTAGCTGAAGTGGATCGAGAGTTGATGGAACAAGATGTGGATAATATGTCGACTCAAGTTCGGGAAGAGGATTATAGGGAAGGGTCAAACTTAAGAGATACTATAGCAAATCAAATGTGGATAGATTATCAAAGTCATTAGATTTTGTATATAATAATATATTTAATAAGATGTACTATTGTTATTGTTGAAATACGATTACATTACGATTATCTATTTATAATAATTATATGTTGGTATCGTAATTACATATATTATCTTTCCAATAGGTTTAAAATGAACAGAGGAAAGGATATTGCACTGGATTCGTCACCAGTAGTGCGCGAGTTTACAAAATGGACTGATGACATGGACTTTCGGTTGTTGATCGCTATGCTTGATGAGGCAAGGTTGGGTAATCGGGTTGATGGTAGTTGGACAACCCAAGCATATAAGAATATAGTTGAATCCCTAAGACGATCTGGATTAATTGGTATAACTAAAAATAATGTTAAAAATCGGCAAAAAAGTCTTAAGGATAGATGGCGGGAGGTCCACGATTTGTTTCATGGACTTAGTGGATTCGCTTGGGATGATATGACAAAACGGTTTGTGGGTGAGCAAGAAGTATGGGATGACCTAATTAAGGTACTATTATATGAATTATCATTTGTTGATATAGCAAAACATAACAATTACGAGTGTTAACCATTCTCATTATTTTGTAGGCGAAGCCTTCTGCAGCTAAATGGAAGCTGGCAACTATAAGACATTATGATTTGATGGAAGAATTGTGGGGTGCTGATCGAGCCGGTGGACATATGGCAAGAACTTCACGTCGAGACCGAATGAATATCGGTTCTCGAAGGGCAACGATCGACTTGAACGTTGATGTGGACCCCACACCGAAGGAGCGACCATTTCACTTTGGCTTTGATGCGGGATTTGATACGGCTTATCGATCACCTCCACGCATGGGTTCCGACGAGTCCTGCTGAGGGTGCTCACTCAATTCCATCTGCTGCGTCTCTTGGTTCGGGTGGAACCTCTTCATCTCGGGGCACAAAAAGAAAAGCGCCTATGGTTGATGTGATGGAAGGTCAATTTGAAAAACTAACATCGAGGCTGGACACATTTACAGATTACCTCGGGCAAGGTAATACAATCACCCAACGATTATCCGACATAGCTGAAAGACAGGTGGTCGCCATTGAACGCAGAAATGAATTAATTAATGAGCAAGTTAATGTGATGAGACGATCATCAACATTTCAACATTCGGAGTCGGATATATGGGACATGTTAGTCGGCATGAACCTAAATGACGAGCAACTTATGCTTCGAGTATTATAATCATTTGTGTACTCACCCATCACATGTTAGACGACTTTTTGGCTTGCCCTCACATCTTCGTCTCTCCCAGTTGTTCATGTTCTTGAATGGAGGTGATTGAATGATCTGAACTGGAGGACTTGACTACAAAAGATGGATAACATTATAATTATTTGTTTGAAGAACATTAGTGTGCATAGATTTATAATTTTAGTAATCTTTCCTTTAATTATTATTCTATTTTCACTTGTATTTTATATTTGTTTTAAATAATAATGTACAATTATATTATTAGTTTTCATAATTATTTGTTATTATCAGATCAATATTAATTATTATTTTATATTTTATAATTATTTAATTATTAGTCAAATAATTTATTTAATATGTCAACATTATTTGAATATGGATATGCAATGTACATAATTTTGTAATTGTTTATTTATATAATTTTTAATAACTATCTAAAAAAAGTTAATTTTTTGAATTTGTTTCCAATTACAAACACTTTTAAATTTGTTTTTTCTTTTAAATATATAATCAATGTTAAAATATGGATAATTAATTAAAAAATTATATTTATAATCATTTGAACCTTATTTGATACAAAGGGTAAAATGGTAATTTTCTTAAATAATCAACATAAAATTATAATTTTTATATCTCATATCAATCAAATCATTCACAATTTCCCATAAACTTTCCTTTCACTTTTTAATCATCTCCATTTCTCTTCAAATCCCTCCTTTTCCACTCTCTCAAATCCACTCCCTCAAATCACTCCAACCAAACAAAGCCTAAATGTGTGTTTGCGTGTCCTTGTCCCGTACTATGTTGTTGGAATAGTAAAGTAAAGAAAGAGGGCGCTTGGTCCTCTTCTTGCGTGTCTCACTGTGTAAGCAAATAATTCTTCGAGGCGCCAATTAAGATGGACCTACAATCCATTTTTATGCCACTCCATCTCCTCCACACATCATAAGTTATATTATAATAATTATATACTATTAAATTAAAATATATAAATGAAAATTAATATTTAATTTCTTTGTGCAAAATTCTCAAGACAAAAATAAATCAATGATTTTTTCCATAAATAATTTATACTAAATGTTATGAAATCCTTTTTATAAATTAATTTATCCTAACTTAAAAATAAATCACTTTATTTTTTCAAAAGTATTTATGAAAAAACTTGTGAAAACATACTTTTAGATATAAAAGATAAATTAATTTTAAATTTAAATTATAAAACAATAATTATTATGGCTGAATTTGTCGAATTGTTAATTAAGTAATAATTTTTAACCACTCACATGAATTTAATTACATGTAAAATAACTTTATTTGTGAACATGATACTAATTTAACCATATTTATTGACATAAGATATATAATGTCAAGTCAACAAACATGGTTATATATGTATATTTTCTCTAATAACATGACAACATTGACTCACTTTTAAAAAAATTAACCAAAATAAGATGAAATTGAAAAAGAGTTAATAGAAGAGAAAATTTGTTTATCCTTAATTATATAAGTTGTATATTAGAGTAACTTTTTATATTAAATATAATTTAAAAATTACTCAAATGAATTCAATATATCATACAAGTTAATATATGTTAAAATTTCCAAATATATTAATGACATAATTAAATTAAAATATATAAATAAATGTAACTCTTATTTTAAAAAAATATATTAAACAAACTCTTTGCCCCTTGCTTTTTGAGAAGAGATGATAGTGTTAGGCTTGGAATGAGTAAGCACATGATATGAAAGGATATAATTGCAGCAAATTATTTGGGCTATGTATTAATGGCTTCACACCATTTTGCTTTTTGTCTTCCAATATCAATTAATATTATTCTCATGCTCCTCCATATTACAGATAATACATTCTTTAAGAAAATAAATAATGCGTCTTTATTTAATACTTTATTTTTGTTCTTTATCAAATGAAAAAAAAAATCAGTAGTAGAAAATATT